AGGGTATTGGAAAGATGTTGTTCTCCTCTGTGCCTTCTTGGAGAATGGGTTTCTCTTCCACCTTTGGTCTGAGAGGGAGGACCTGCAGAAGAAGAGGGGGAGCAGTTGGATCAATCGGGGGAAGGAAGGATTTAACCCAGGTGGGGGGGCATCAGGTCATTCGATGCAGCCTCGCCAGGTCACAGTGTATGGGATCTGGTCCTGGTGGCCAGTCCGTGGGTGGAAGATGTGGTCCTCTACCCTGGAAATCAAACTCAGGTTAAAAGTCCCTTCAGGGGGCCATCCAACATTGAAGGAGGGCCAATCAACCGAACATAAAGTTGTCCTTTTTTTTTTCTTTACATCTACACCATTGTTATGGGCAATCTTCTTAACGTCCCCCCAGTGGACTAGCATAAGATATAGAGGGGAAGATGGGGTGTTGCCCATAGTATTTATCAGTCCTGTCTGTTTTGTCAACAAAGAAATTAGAACAAAGATCACAATACACAAGAACAACACAGACAGACAGAGGGCCCAAATTAAACTACCGCAGCTTTCAGATGGTCTGGACTCTGGGCCGTGTGGACTCCCTGGCTCGATTGTGCCAAAGACCGTACCGATAGGACTCACGTGTCCCAACAGAGTCGCAAGGTCCTCTGAGGTTTCAGATGGACTAGTGTCCTGGTGAGGTGTCTGGTGGGGAACACCCAACCCGACAAGGTTGGGGAAGTCTCCCGAATCCTCCAGGTCACCTTGCTAGCATTCCAGCAACAAAAAACTGAGATCAGATGGCTGCGACCAAAGGGAAAGTATAGAAGAGACAGGCAGACAAAAAGACAGGTGGATAAACACAATTTTACAAAAACTTACCCGGCCAGCTGATCACAAAACTTTTGGAGCCAGTTCCTTTCGGAGGTCTCTGGGGGGATCCCGGATGAGCCCCCAAATGTTGTACATCATCCACTGGACCCCAAAAAGACCACCGAGGACCCAGCACACCAAAATGCAAAAGCAAAGGTTTAAGGTTTATTCGGGCTTAAGCTCGGGCTCTCAGACCTCACCAACTCATCGGATCCATGCTGAGAGCCCAGAGTAAGGGAGAGTGGAGCCTTTTATAGGTTTTAGAAAAAGAGAGGAGGGGGATACCGAAGATACATTTTGGTTAGTTCAAGGAGCCCGCGTGTGCCAACATAATTTTAAACTGATTGGATGTATAAGATGCAGCCCTGGAAGTTTCTTATTGGTAGGTGTTATTCTCAGGGCTATGGAATGTGCTGACTGTTATCTTTGGGGCCAGGACTCTCCATTTTTACCTTATAGGGAAGTTTTCATCCCCAAGCTTGCTTAATCTATAGTTTCCTGGAAGGGGGGGGTAGCAGGTGGGGGTCAGGGCATGCCAGGGCATGTCTAGGTATGTTTAAAGCAGCAGCCAAGCATTTTACAGAAGCTAAAAGAGCAATTAGTGGGGGTCTGGAGGGATTGGGGGGTAGCAGGTGAATGAAGAGGGTCGCAGGGTTCTACACTTTAAGGAGAGATGGAAGGCTGAGACAGGAAAGTCATAGAAAACTCATAGATCAGCCAGCCTGGAGTACACAGAAGTGAACTAAAGTCGCTTTCTGAAATAAGTGAAAAGGCAAGGATTGGCTCCCAAGATTGACCTCTGACCTCCACATGCACAGGAACACACACACACACACACACACACACACACACACACACAGAAACACAGATATACACATAAACACAAATAAAATAAAATAAAATGGGTCATCCTTAAAACTCCATTTCCTTGGTTTAAAATTGGTTAAAATATATGTCTGTAATAAAGAATCAAATTTATCTGATGCCTGGGGTCATTCCTCTCTAAGAAAGGACTTGTTAAATTCCTCACATTTAAATTGGCAATTCTCCCCTTTGTCTCACGATTTTATGTAAATGTTAAGAGAGCCAGGGGAAAGACAGGGAGGAAAGTAGTCTTCTCTTTCCATCAGGTTTGACCTAGCTGTAAATAGACACTTTTATTCTCCTTTACCAATTTCTGTTTCCTAATTTCTTTTGAAACAGGGAAGCTATAGCATTGGGTTTCAGATCTAAATGCCCTGCAATATGAATTCTCTCTATTGAAATCACTCTGTGAGCAATATGAGAAAGACGGATGCTTTGCAATAGGAGGCCTTGTGCAGTTGCTAGTCAGGGAATCAGATACCAGCAGGTTTGATGGTCATTGGTGATGGATCCTCCTTCATAATAAGCACCTTCTGAAACCAAGAACAAAAACTGCAGAACTTTGATTACTGGACAAAAGAATGTGGTATGAGCCATATCTCTTGCCCTAGGTTGGAACATGATAGTCTAGCTTAGCCAAAAGATCATAGAATTGCTATGTAGAAGGAAGCTTTCTGGCAAGAAGCAAATACCTACCATTGTGCCTTCCCTTAAGAGTAGATGAATATGTGCCTGTGAATCACCCAGACAGGAAAGTACCCTTCAGGAGAGCTATCTGTTTTGGAATTTTAAGAAATATTATAAAGTTCAACTAAACATGGATTTCAACACTGTGGTCTCTCTGTCTATTGTCAACTCTCTTCCTTTGAGTGTGTTTTCCTCTTCAATAGCTCCTTTGCTTGATGCCTACTGCAACCCCTGAGAGTACTTCATTTAATTCTGCTTGTTTTCTGCAGACCTGTCTGTGTCTTGTCCAAATTCATTGACAGAGATGACAAGGACAGGGTAACCAAGGGGAAGCCAGAGCATGAACCTGATCCATAGTCTTCTGAACGTTCACTTTAGAAACCCGACCTGAAGTGAACCATGGAGAAAAATATGTATTGTTTTGTCCTGCTGAAATTAGATATGACTTCTTGCACAGAATTTCAGAGCTATACTTAGTACATCCATACAAGACATTCTGTTGATTTGATCAGTAGTACTACAATATAAATTTGTATCTTATCTTTCTCTTTTACTTAAAATAAAGTTGCCTACTTTTTCAGTAGGCTGCCTAAGAATATTTAACTGCAAAGAGGAGTGTTGGTTTAATTTAAAAATAAGTATATTGAAATGTTTGATGGAAAATAAAGTGTTTCTAGATTTACTGCTGTCAGCATAAAGAAGAACCACCACCATTATTTTCCTCTTTCAGTTGCAATATGACATTCTTAATCTAAAGGAAGTCTATGTAATAGCAGAATTGTGGCCACCTGCCTATGCTGTTATGTCCCTGACTTTGTTTCTGTTTTGAATGCTAGAGGTATATTATGAGGATATTAAAAAATCTTATTACTCACATAATGAGGCTTTTGGGAGAGCAGGACAGCTCCAACTTAGGTTCAATTGTAGCTTGAGAGAGAAAAGTTTTGTTTTTTTTTTCATGTTCCAGATTCAGTGAGAAGCCCTGCCTCAAGAAATTAAGCGGTAAGCAATTAAGGAAAACATCAAATGTCAACTTGGGGCCTCCACACTTGCATATGTGCATATGCATTCACACACAGGCATGTACAGAAACAAAAATAAATGGAGCAGAATCACCTTTCTGTGGAGAAACTACCTTGATTTTTTAAAATAAATGGCATTACCTGCTTAGCCTAACAGGGAAAAACATTAACCGAACCACATGTAGTATTTTTTTAAATTTTCTTGTACCTTTTTTATGTGTATTTTTATTGATTTTTTATGCATTTTATACAATAAATATGTTTTTCATACACTAAATCTTAATCATATTTAGCTCCACCTCCCCCATCCACACCTCCCCCATAGCCCCCCACCAGATTTCATGAATTCCTGCCTTTGTACCCAGATGTTCCTCAGTGCAAATCCACTCACTGGAGTCTAGTCAGCCTATCTAGAATCATTTGTAGTTTGTTAACCATATAAGTGTAAGACCTACAAATGGGTACAGAAAAGTAACTGCCACTTTGAGACTTAATAGTCTTCCAAAATTCAGAGATGTACTTTAGGACACAGAATTGAATGTCCTCAGAAATGACCAGTGCTTTCACAGGTGTTACAGAATGAGTGGCTTCTTTGAGAATCTTTTTACATTGTAGTTTTTAAACTGTATGATTATCTCAAAGCAAGATGGTCACAATGCCCAGTCAAACCAGGGTTGAGGACAGTCATTTTGCGTGATAGATGTAAAAAAGCTTGAATTATCTAATTAGCAGTAAACAGTGCTGGAGAGACAGTACATTGGTTAAGGACACTTGCTGCTCTTGCAGAAGATCAGGGTTCAGTTCTCAGCAACTACATGGTGGTTAACAACTGTCTGTAACTCTGGTTCCAAGAAATCTGATACCTTTTTTAGACCTCCACAGGCATTGAACACATATGATGCACATACATACATACAGGCCAAACACTCTTACACATAAAATAAAGATTTTTTTAAAAAAGAATGCTCTCCTTGAAACAAAAAGAAAAAAAAGCAAGATTTAAAAGTGGTTAGCAGTCAAACATCAAAGCTTTTATGAGAGTCTTTATTACAATACATCATTGATGTTTCACCTGAAAACTAAATGATACCATATTTTATTTAACTGAATTTCAAGTTTTCTTTCAGCAGGTCATGCTGGTACTTAGTTCTGTAGATCAGTAATAAGTACAAGAATTCATAAAATTGTGCTTTTAATAGATTTTAAATTAAGTTGAATTTGGCCAAGATCAGTTCAATATCTATAACACATGTGTTGGGCACCACACAATAACTTACTATATAATCTGAGAGTTTGTAGTAAGTACAAATTACCATGACTCAGTACATAGAAGCTGAGCTTCCACCAATCACTAGTAGCTAACTGATAATACCAAACCCAGATAAGGCAAATTGTGAAAGGTAACCAACCAAGTTGTTTCTGTACTTTGCTCTAATTATCTACAAGTTATTTGTCCACATCAAGAGCAGAAGTAATGGTTAACTTTAATTGTTAACTTGATACAACCTAGAATAATAAAGAGGGAGTGACTACATTGGGTTAGCCTCTAGGCATGCCTGAGAGGAACTGTATTATTAACTTATGTAGGAAGCCCTGTCTCATTGTGTGCATTCTCTAGGCAGGGGGTCCTGAACAGTATGAGAAGAGAAATGTACTTGAGCAATGGTAAACAGGTGAGCATGGATGTATTCGTCTCTCTCTGTTTTGACTATGGGTATGTCTGTTTGAAGCTCCTGCCTTGACTTCTCCACAATACTGGACTGTGACCTGGAATTGTACACTGAAGTAAACCCTATTCTCCCCTAAATTGCTTTCTTCCAGGTTATTTGATGATCTTATCAACAAATCTGAAATTAGGAGGTTGGAGTTCTATAGACCACAACAGGTTCAGTGTGTTGCTAGATCACAAAGCAGCTTTGCTCAGTAAGTTCTGTTTTTTTCTTTAGACCAAGATTATATGGAAAAAAAAGGTAAATGTTTAACACAAAACAGACTTACATAAACTTAGGTAATTATGTGAAAGAGTAAATATGATTAATCTGAGATAAATATTGTACAGTATATTCATGTAGTAAAATATCAAATTTTAACCCATTAATACTTTCAATTTTATGTGTTTATGTGCGTTAAAATGAATGGAATTCAGATAAAAAGTACGTGGACAAATAGCAAAATAAACATGCATGTAATTCTTACTCATTGCTAATAATAGCTATTAGGTACATGTAATTAAAGAAGCAAAAGATAGATAAATAAAGGCTATAAAGTAATGATAAAAGATATCTGCTACAATACAAAAGTAGACAGAGAATTATCAGAAAGAATAACAGAATTTGGGATGGTGATCACATACATAGTAAGAAAACTTGAAATGGAAAGTGTACAGAAATGAGAGCAATATCATAAAGCAATCACAAAAAGTACTCTCCTTTAAAACAATACATAGGTATTTGATACAGAACAGTATCATAAATGCAGTCAATTATCAAAAGTTAGGCAAAATATAAATCCCTCTGATGAATAATAAAATTAAACAAAATTGCTTTAACAATTCAGGGAAGTCATTTGTACAGTAAAATATCCAGATCATAACTAATATCGACTATAAGTCAAGGTATAGAATAGTAATGTAATATGATCACATATAGCAACATATATGAAAAATTCAAGCATACTATATTATTTTTAAATGATTTTTGGAGAAATAATTATACAAGTTTGTTCAAATATTACATATTCTAATTTTAGAACATTTCTTGTCCCTTAAATGAACATTTTGACCTCACATGAGTGTACATTCAAAAGAACATACACAAAAGTTTGAGTCATCTAATTTCTTGAATTTAACATAGTATTTGCAATTTGTAAACAATGTTTTATATTTATTTTTATTGTTATTCACTGTTTATACATTTGTCTATATTTTGTTTGTGTGCCTAAGTGTGGGCATGTAGGATCACCTATGGGTGTAAAGATACCAAAGCACATGTGTAGAAGTCAGAGGAAAACTTTCAAGAGTTGGTTCTCTACTTTCATCATGTAGATTCTGGGGATCAAACTCCGTTCACCAGGTTTGGTAGGAAATGCCTTTGCCCAATGAGCCATCGCACCAACACTATACATAATGTTTTAGATATTATTTATATATTACCAAAATTTCTTACCCATATTTCTATTGATAGATAATTTAACTTTTTTAAGATTTTGCTTCATATATAAGTATTTAATTGCTTTTTGTTTTTGGAAATATATTTTTGTTGTTGTTGCAAATACTGGCTGGCAGGTTTGTTGGTTTAGTGTATATTTTGCATGGAAGAAGTTTTTATTACTTCTTTATAAATACTCAGCTGGAGAATTATTGGATTATAGTGCAGATGAGTCTTTTATTTTATTTTTTAAATACTTTTATTTAATATTTTTTATTTTTCATTTTCATATGTATAAGTGTATTGCCTGCATGTGTGTAAATGCATCCATGTTGGGTAATCCCCATGGAGATAAAAGAGGACATCAGATCCATTGAATCTGGAGTTACAGGTCATTGTCAGCCACCATGTGGGCGGCGAATCAAACCCAGGTCCTCTGCAACAGCAGCCATTGCTTTTACGCTCTGAAACATATCTCCAGTCCATGAATTAGAATTTTATAAGAAAGTGGTAAAACATTTTCAAAATGGTTGTGCCATTTTGCTGTTTTAATACCAAATATTACCAATTTCTCTCATTCCTTGCTAGTACTTGCTATTACTGAACTTTTAAAATTGAGTGATTATAAATAGGCTAAAAAGATTTATGAGACTAATGAAAAAATGAGGTAACCCAGCCAGGAAAGTATCCTTAACCCAGCACTTGAGAGGCAAAAGCAGGCATATGTCTGTAAGATCAATGCCAGCCTGCTCTACATAACATGATCCTCTCAAAATATATTAATTAATTAATTAACCCTACACACCTGTTAGAATGACTAAAATACTGAACACTAAGAGCAATAAGTGCTTACAAAGATGTGGAAGGATGGGAACGCTCATCCATTCTTGTAAAATTAAGTTCGGTATATCCACTTTGAAGACGTTTGCTAGGGTTTTGTGCAACCGAATACCTCTTCCACATCACTTAGCAATTCCCCTTCTTAATATTTAGCAAAGGATTAAAAACTCCTGTCCATTTAAAAAAAATTCAAATAGTTGAGTACACATGCTTACAACTGCCACTATTCAGATCTGGAAGGAGCAAGGATGTCCTTCATTGAGCTGGTGGATAGATCAGCTGCAGAATATCCAGGTGATGGAAACCTGTTCAGCACTAAAATGGATTCTATAGGAAAGCATGAATGAAATGGAAAAACCCCAAAGTGTGTTATGAAGCAACAGAAGCAAATATGAGAGGCCCAGACTTGTGTGATCCCAACTCTGATATTAGAGGGAAGATCAAAAACAAACAGACAAAACGGTGGAGACAGGAGAAAGTTCAGTGTTTCCAGGAGTTGTGGAACAGTAAGAAAGGGACATATAAAAGGGCAAGGGATAGGATTTGGGGGATCCTGAAAATATACTATCATGGTGGTTACATGTAATTAGACACTTGTCTAAGCCTGGAGATAGACAGCACCAGAAATGAACCAATAGTTCCAATTTCCAATGTAAATGTTGACCATTGGGCAAAGTGATGTGCTGATGTAAATTCAAAAATTTTAGCAATTATACACCAATTTGGTGGAAGATGATGGTAAAAGGGCTGGATACGTATATACAGGAGAAAGAACTGTGTGAAAGACGCATTTTTTTCCTCTCAATTTTGTTGTTAGTCTAGATTTGCACTATAAAATCAAATCTAAAAGTAAAATAAGTTTTGTTTAAAGGTTACATGAGTAATGATGAGGAAAAGTGATTTAAAAATTTCTTATAAGATGAAGATTCTAAGAGATGGCTCAGGAGGCAAAATGTCTGATGCCCAGGCGTGAGGATGTGAGTTCAAATTCTCAGCAGCCACATAGAAAGCCAGGCATGGAGGCATGTGACTCTAAATCCTAGCACTGGACAAGGAAAGACAGGTGGTTATATAGAGATTCCTGCCCTATTGATGAATTTCATGTTCAGTGAGAGAACTTGTCCAAAAAGTTTGGTGGGAAACAACAGAGAAGGATACCTGATAGGCACGCAGCACATACTTGTATATATATGCAAGCCCACCCACACATACACATACACATACACAGACATGAACACATTCATGCAATACACATATATACCTGAGACATAAAATTGAGAAATTTGGATAAAATATAAGAAAAAAGAAGTAGAAATTACTAGAGAGAACCAAAGAGCAGACAGGGGGCTGGAAGTCAGCTTGGAAAGACTTATAGGATAGTATAGAATTTATAAATAGTAACTATCTTAATTAGAACATCAACATAGAACCAGGCTTACACATTCAATGTGGCAGTGACCAGTATTAAGAGATATAAAAACAGTTCTGAACTATGAAAAGAAGACCTAAATACACTGTTGTCATATAACAATTGAGATGATGAGATCTAAAATTCATATATACAAATTCTTGATGGATCCACAACTTATGATGCCAGGAAGAAAACTCAAAATTATCCTCCCTTCTGAAAAGGAGAGAAGAATCAGACAGTAATCTATTCTCAAAAAAAACTCATTATGTTAAGCATTCCAAATTCCCTCTTTGTTGACTGTGCACTTGTACATATGTGAATAGATTTGTGAGCAAGCTAAGTATTATTGCCTAGATCTGTCAGAGGACAGAGACCACAGATGGCAGAGAAGTGAGGAATTTATAGAGAAAAATCAAAAAGCCAACAAACGCATTAGGATCAGACCAAAGCTTTGAGTATAAACTACCCAAATTATTGGTGTAGACATAGAGAACACCCTTTCGAGATAGGTTGAAGACAAAATATCAGGAATTTGAAGGTACTGAAAATTGTCACATTGCAAGGGAATGGAGCTCTTAAGTAAGTCCAGACTAGTTAATTATCTCCTAGAACCTCAACCCCAAACCAAGCAATTTCATAAGAATCTAGCTTAATCTATACTTAGTGCAATATATTTAACATGGTGCCAATCTGTAATCCTAAAATTGCAAACCTAGTTTTTAAAAAAACAGAAAATAAAAATATAAACAAATACTGTTGTGTTTGAGTACGAAATGTTACCTGTATCAATAGTGTGGGGCTTGTTATCTGTTCCTGGGTTTGGGGAAAGTAATTGTATCACAAGAAGTCTCCTTTATGAATAGATTAAATCACTGATAGATTCAAAATGTGAAAATAGTATTGGGAGGTTGTTGTACTGTGGAAGGGGACCTGTTCGTAGGAAGCACTTCTTTCAGAAGGGTATATTTTTCTGTAGCGTATTCTAGTTTCTGTTCTCTCAGCTTTCTGTATGTCATGAGGTGAACAGGCCCTTCCTACATGGTCCCGACCCTATAATGTTTCTCTTCACAACAGATCCAGAAACATGAGGCCAAATCATCATTAACTGCACCCTCTGAAACTATGAGCCACAGTGGCGTTGCCTTGCTTATGTTGTGAGGCATTGCATCACAGCAACCCCAAAGTAAATATTGCTTGCATAGAGATAGGCAAGAAAAGCTAATAGAAATCAGTTCTAAGATGTTCTTGTTATAAATTAAGATTCCAAATCAGCTGATATAAATACTTTCAAATAATTAAAGTAAATACATAAATATAAGCCAGGAAACAGTTTCTTAACAAAGCAAAAGAGAATGAATTTGAAAAATTACTTAGAAAATCACATCTCAAAATTGGGAAAATGCAGATGAAATGTAACAAATAATGAATGGACTTGATATCAGATTAATAAAATAATTGATACCAAAAGAAAAAAAACAGTAATAATAATAATAATAATAACCAATTATGTTGCAGAGATGTGTGATTGATTCAGTAAAGCTCTAAGTATATTCTAAAAAGAAGTGAGAAATGAATAGGTAGATGCTTAGAGAAACAGCAGCCAGGTTTTTCCTCAAATTTATTTAACATTATTGAATTTTAGATTCAGAAGATAGAATGATCTGTTGTATAAGTTGCAATAAGACAGTACATAAGCAAGGAAATATGATTCATTAAACAGTAAATGTACAATGCATGAATGAAAGGTAACTTCTCAAAGAGGCAAAAGAAACCACAGGATGCATAAAAGACATATGTGAAGGATTGTGGAAATAAAAGAATTTTTTCAGTGGGTCATTATTCATGGGACTTATTCCTGGTTCAAAAGTTCCCAACATTCATACCAAGGCATTTCGGAGACACAGGCCTGTTACCTAGGAAAACAAAATTAAAACCAAAAAACAAACAAAAACTAATTCTAAATTTTCTGGAAAGAAGAATACAAACCTCATCATAAGAAATATAGCAAATACTGTATTAATAGAAAAATATTTCCAAGAATGAAAAAGAGCCACTTTTATTATGAAGGAGCTATTATTGAAATATATTT